CCCCCCACCACCCTACCCCCACCCCCAAAGCAACCTGGGGGTCCCCCTGCTGTCCTACACGTCCACAGTGTTCTCAGTTTGACCATTTTTGCATTTTTCTTATTTCTACTGTTGTTTTTTTCCTCGTGTGCGATCAGGATTTAAAGGTTTTTAACTGAATCATTATAGGCAGTGGTGGTAGCATGTCAAGCTTTCAAAATGCTGTACAATTGTTCAAATGGTTTGTATTATAAGACTACTCTGGTCTAAAGAGAGGTTTATAGTGTGTTAAATTAAGTTTTGTTGTGTATAATTTTTTTCCCATGACTTTATGAACTGTTGGTAAGCAAAGTGAACTCGCGATCAGGTGTCTCAGGGGGTGCTGTGTAATTAAACCTCAGAGAACTATTTCTGTAATGTCAAAAATATGGATTTCTCTCTGTTTTGGTCTATGATTTTTGAAATAATAGACTCTTGTGGTTGCGATAAAGGGGGGGTGTGAGTAAGGTGTACATAATGATTAAAATGTCTGTTTTTAATTTAAGTTCTTTCTCTCTCCCAGGCCTGGTCTTAACCGCTTCTGGTCCGAGAGTAAAGGGTTCGGGGTTCGGGGTCTGCAGCTGTTTGTCGCAGAGAAGCCCTGCAGGGTGTACAGTGTACAGATGTGGCCTGCTTCTCGCTGCCCGGCGTAGGTAGATAGGACAGGGCCCGTGTCAGTGAGCCAGCCCTGAGCTGCGTGCTGTGCTTGCTGACGGCAGCTAGCTGGCGTGAGCGTGCCTGTGTGTCTGTAACCAAGCAATAACTATCCAGCGAGAGCCCAGCCCTATTTTATTTTGTACAGTTTTTCCTTCTGAAGGCACGTTTCACTTCCCTGGTTTGAATCAGTATTATCGCTTTGATTTTTCTCGTACGGGTCTGAGGAGGGGCAGGACAGTGCGACGTATCTCCCAGTGGTCGCCCTCGGGGTCTGCAACCAGCTTCAGGGCTTGTGGGGCTTAATAGTCGATCCGCCCCTGATCGCCCCCCCCCCCCCCCCTCCCATGCCCGCTGCACCCCCCTGCTGGTATTGACTCTCCCGCTGAGTTCCTGTGCAGCTCGGACTCCCTGCGGAGCCAGTGTACACCCTAGGTGGACTCAGCCAGGTGCCAGTGCTGTGCCTGACCCCCCCCCCCCCCCCCATGGTCACAGCGACCGCAGACATTACCATGGTATGCAGGCTGCAGTGGGACCGGCTGGCCCAGCGTCGGGGTCAGCCGGGGGCCCCCTGCTTGCGCCACCGTTTCGGCAGGTATTTCCTCGTGCACGGCCTCGCAGTGTCCGCCGGCACGGGGCGTTCTGGCCACGCCCTTTTCTGAGGTGTTCCAGTGACCCAGCCATATCACACAGAGAAACAAGCCAAATTTCCTTGCCTTTGAATGATTGACGGTCCAAATGGGTGCTGGGAGCAAGCCCTGTAACTTTGGGGACGGTTTGATGACAGGTACTGCTCAAGGAGCCCGAGAACGAGACGATGTCTGGTCCTCAAGGTAAGAGACAGAGAGGGGTCTGCAAAGCACCTGGGGAGGCTCCATCGCCGACCGGATGTAAACAACAGACTCGTCTCCATAGTGACTCGAGTCGCCATTACATACGTGGTGTTGGGGCATGCGGCTCTCGAGAAGGAACCTTCCGGGGCCGCTCCTCAGCCTGAGGTGGGAGCTGTTCTCCCTCTGCCTGACTCTGCTCTCTCTCACGAGGGATTTGGGTTCCTGCTCCCTTTAAATCGCTGTAGAAGCTGGTGTCAGCTCTGATCTCTCCGTTTATCAGGGCTGGCTTGTTTGTACTATGTTCTGCTGATATCACCGCGTTTTTATTCGATTCCGTGTTCTAGATAAATGCTGGGATAAATAATAGAACCCTTTTAAGATATCCAGTTTTACTGACAAAAAACAAGTGCACCACTCCCTTCGCAAAAATCCAAAGATTGTCATCAATTTTAAAAGAAACACAAGCCATGAAGTGTAGGGTGAGGTTTGACTAACCCTTTTGTAGTATTTCTACACGGGCAATAGTGATGAGCACGATGAAACTATTTGCCTATAAACTGAAAAAAAAATGAATTTGCAAAATTTTGTCGCTACTTTTTTGTTTTAGTTTTAGAAATTTTTGAAAACTTAATTTCTTTTGTATAGTCCGCCAATTTCTTAGCTAAATGCAAGACTCTTGAAATGCTAAAACTTTAGCACAATGCCTTAGATCTGATTCTCTGTCCTGTATATTCCTATGAGGTTGTCAGTTGTATTATATTTGTATAGTGTTTGTGTACGACCGCGGATGAGTGCGTCTCTCGCAGCCTTTCCCGCCGGGCGCCCCCTTCCGGCTCCCCGGCTGATCCTCTCTGCTCATCATCTCCCATCTTCTCCCTGATCACTCGTGGGCTCATATTATTTGTACAGTTTGTTTCTCATGGACCGTGTTATGGGTTACGGATATAAGATGATGCAACGGTAAATTTAAGCAATATGTACATTTACATGGACTCTCCGGCAGAAGCTGGCAGTGTCGCGGGTTAAGACGTGTAATTTTCCCAGTTGTGTTGTTCACATTAAACATAACGTTGTTCACCTGCACTGGTGTTTGTAATGTTAGCGTGAGCATTTTATGCAAAGTTAGATATACTGAGAGAACTTTAAACACATTTATGCAAGTTGTCGACTAATATTGCTTTGCTGATGCTATTTGATGTTAAATAATACCGTTGTAAATAAAGATTTCTGTTACTGCAGCGACCCTCTGGTCCTTCTGCTTCCTCCGGATCGGGGCTCAGGGAGGGCGCGCCGCAGCATTTTTCGGATGATATTAATTCGTTTTGTTGTCAGGTTTTTTTTTTCTTTCTGATTTTTTAAATTAAGCCCACATTGTTTCCAGTAAGTTCCTCACACATACTCCCCGGTCCAAGTTCCCTCGCATGTCGTGGCGCCCCCCGGCGGTTACCTGAGGCTCAGTCTTCCCTGCTGCTAAAACCTGTGAACTGCTTTTCTGGTTGATTTATTTCAGGTTCATGTATTTCAGGACTGTATAAAAACCACGGGGGTGGTCCTAACGAATTAGGCCGAAAAACATCCGGTAGTTGCAGTGAATTCGCTAAATGGGCTCCGTGTGCTACCGATCGCAGTCTTCACCCTTGTGTCTGTGTCTGTATGCGTGTTTTAATATGCCTATCCGTTTATAATTTTATTCCTTTATTAGTTTTCAGCGGAGCCTGGGTTTAGTCGTTACCGAACCATCACCTTGCCTCTTTTTTAATATGCAAATAATGTGTACTTTTAACAAAAATCGTTTTTCTCTAGGTTACAGTTTTAGTAGTCCATACGGATTGGTTTGATTATGGCTAATATTTTTGTTTACAGCGTTTTACAACGTTTTGGATAAATGCCTAACTTCGGTAACCTGTAAGTAACAATGACTGCGATCAGCCGAAACTCAATTTCAGCATCCTAATTACTAAATATTGGTATAGGCCTAGTCCAGTTAACCTTCCTACGGTGTTAGGGTCGGCAACTGACCCGTGTGTAAGTTTAAAATGCATAAAAGCACCACATAAATTTGTTTACTGCATCAAGGCTTTTTGACTTTGTCAGGAACCTCTATTAAACAAAATATAGCCTACTTTTTTTTTTAATTTCACTAGGCAAGACATGTCCAGATATGTAAGGCAAGATAAGACCAATTTAGTTTATATAATTCTCTTGATGTTTATTTTACCATTATTTTTTATTGAAAACCAGAGGTATGCTGTCAAAAGAAAAGTCCAGAAAGCCACACCAAAAATATTAAAACCAAATTTTTCCTACATAAGAAAGTTTAACAAGGTAACCAGGAGGTAAGAAACAAATTGGATGATAAATTATTGTTTTGAGTGTACTTTATTGCTGATTTAATAACATAAGAGAAACTAACACAAGACAAAGGTTACCCTTTCTACAATAGCAAAGATTGATTCCGTGTCTTGTCACCTCTGTTCATACACTAGTTGCTCAGGTATCTTTAACTCAGAGTATTAGCTGCACCAGTATCCAACACCCGGACCGTCCTGGTTATCGATCTTCACAAAGACACGTCATTAGTTATAAACTGCGCTTATCTGCATGTAGGCTAAAACATATCGCGCTTCATATAAGGTCAAATCAGTTTTTTAACAATCAGCTATACCATGAGAATAGAAGTGATTTTTTTTACGTAAAAGTAAATAATTAACTCTCTAAAAAGAGTAGCCTGTATACATTTAGGATGTTGTGTAAATCACCGTGTGAAATATCCACCAGAATCAAAAATTGAAATAAACTATATGACTATAAACAAATAGATTTTAAGTAGGCTTATCTATATCTGTGGACGCATCACGACCCGTATTTCGTGTCATTAAAGGGGAATATAGTTCGTAGAAGTAAAAGTAGAACCGTCATTACCCTAATATGAACTATCGAGTGTATCGTAACGGGAATTCCCATTTTCATCCTTACACTTAATTACCGACAAATGTGCATTTCTTTCTGGGTTACAAAGATCTGTCTTAAATTACCTTTAGTGTTTTGATTATTTTATTATTTAAAATCAAAAAAGTAAGAAAAAGAAGTTACTGTATGATCAACATAATTTTAAAAATCACGCTGGTTACTACGTACTTCTAAATAAACTTTTCTGTTCAATTTAGACACGCTGCGGAAGAATTGAGGATTCTCTTTTCATCTGTATTCCCATATAAAAAAGACAATTTTCGATATTTGAAAAAATATTCTAGGAAAAGGGTTTATTGAT